TTGCAGGAAAGCCTTGATTAGACGAAAATAAGTTCTTTTTGTGGAAAATCCTTAATTTTCAAGAGCAAAAAATAATGTTATTTTGAAGAAACAGTCTATATAACTGTGATAAAATTGGCAAATGTTATGTTTCTTTTTGATAACAGAAAATGAAAGAAGGCACGATGCGGAGAAGCAATCTTCTCGGGATGATCGAGCACGGCCACGCAGCCGATCTCCCACAAGGCGACGTATGTATGATGAGAGAATGGAAAAGAAAAAGGAACGTTCTCGTTCGCCGAACAGGTATTTTCAACTGTCTTAGCCAAAGAATCAGTAAAGATGGCGCTGAAGCCAACCCAGTTAGGGTCAATTCATTTTGTTCTCAAACTCATACTACATGCCAAAAGCTAAGACCTGGCCAATGAAGCGCAGCGGAAAAAAAGAGCCACATTTTTTGGTAGGCGTCAGCACTAGGCCGTTGTCTTTCCAGAAACTCTGTGCTTCTCAAATTCACAGTGTCTTGAAGCCACTGATCGTTTTACGAGCATACTGTTGCGGATAACATATATTTATTTGTTTGTTTCATGCGAAGTATATGTAGGTCTGCATCTGTTTTTTTATGTTCGTGTTTAGATCTCCGCCGCGCCGAAAATTTACGGAGCGAAAGGAGGAGACTCGAAAGCGTAGTAGAAGCAACGAACGTCGCAAAAGGTTTGCATATCTTTGTTTTTATGGTTAACGAGCTGAAGAGCGACACACCGAGAGCTTAAATAGTTGGAGTATATCTCTCCCTGGTAAAATGCTCTTTCTTACGGGGCGACTCTTGTCAAGGCAGTTTACGTCTGGGAAGAAAGCTGGTTTAATCGCGTGCTGAAAATGAGAGATGACATGTAGATAAAGCAGATTCTTGAGTGAGCACTAAGTATGCCGTCGATGAAGTGGAAAAATCCTTCTCCCGTTCCTTTCAAATGGCTTTGCAAGGTTACAGGGTACGGAGAACCCGGAATAAAGATTCAGCCGTACTAGCAACAGGATGGAGCACTAGAGAGGAGTAACTGATCAAAATATTTGGGAACCTGTGTGCAGATACGTAGCCGATGCAGGCCTAGGTTTGAGAAATCAGCGAACACGGATTTAGTTTTGCAGCAGCC